GGTCCTAACCACTTTCAATCAAGTGCTTCTGCAAGCAGGAGAGGTGTTGGGGATCTTCAGTGTCAATGGCAAAGCTTATGCATGGGTCTCTTTGCTGAAGCTGTGCAGTGAAGATAGAGCAACCCATTCAGCCACATGGGAACCAACAGGGACCAGTGCTTCATCCAGTTGGAGGCTGTCTTGGCAGCAATGGTGCACACCAAAGGTGAAAGCACCAAGACTCTTCCGCCCTTTCACCTGAAATTGGTGTAGAAACAAATCACCCCTGCACAGCTTGATGTTACATGTTCAGTGGCCAGTGAAGGCTCATGTTGAACGGGCAACGACACTGTGTTTTCAATTGCCAAGGAAAGGCTCAATTTCACTTGCCAGCCAAGGCTCATGTTCAAAAGCAAACATGTTTTGAGTTGCTCAGTGAAAAAGCACACCCAGATTTTTGTGCAATTTCTTGCAACAAGCAATTTGAAATCATATATATATGCTCATTTTGAAATTATGTTGACAATTTTTTGCAGAAAAAATGTCAACAAAATCCTGTTGAAAAGTGGTCTTAAGGGTATACCATTAGAGACGTCAGCTAACCCTTGTAAAGCCTTATAGTGGCACTAGCTAATGCCTGTAACCCTCATAACACACTAGTAACGACCAGGCCCATCTAAGTAACTGTTCCAGTTCGAGTTCGAGATCGGGTTCAAGTTCGAGTTCGGTTCCTTCCCTATACCCTTTCAGGGTTGAGTTCATCAATGGGTATATATATATAACTGTTTCATTTCAGTTCGAGATCAAGTTCAAGTTCGGTTCCTTCCATATATCCTTTCACGGTTAAGTTCATCAATAAGTATAACTGTTTCAGTTCGAGTTCGAGTTCGAGCGGGGCACCCTATGTGTAGTTGAAAACCTCCCCAAGGCCGAAGGAGGATGAAGATGGTGGCGAGCAGGATGCCAAAGAGGAAGGTTGAGGCGAGCACTGCCAGCCACCAAAGGTCTCGACAGTAGTGAGGTAGGCCAAGATAACTAGCAAAGAATGTGTGGTACACGTGCTTGTTCCTGGGCCCTTCAGGTTGACAAAGTCGAGACGATTTTCGATTGGGGAGGTGTGTGCTAGCGGGTCTTTGTTGGCTGCCCGCCTGAACACTGATGGCCTTGAGCCAGTATGTATGTATGTATGTATGCATGCATGCATGTTCAACAACCATGAGCCAATGATGTTTCGTCTGAAAACATCTTCATCCTCACAGTGCGTATGGGCATGGCATGGGGTTGCTATCTCAGCATCTCTGTGTACTAGTTACTAGTACAAATGGCTTGCAGTCGCAGCGCCGGTTGCCACAGTGAGAGGTCATACTTTTGAGCACACTCTGCTTCACAAGCCGTTCTCATTCACATCAAGTGCACTTGCCTATTTACCATTTGCAAAAGATCCTTCACAACACTCTTCCTCCAAGCGATCGGGTTTCGATGGTCACAAGCGTTCACCAGCGATGCTCGAAGACGGCCCTCAATAAAAATACGTTGCATGTTCAAACAAATTATGCATCCATTACATATGTGGATCTGATGCTGTCCCTAGTTCACCATCCTTCTCATGTCAAACAAGTCCCCCACGGATAGGAACTCCGCGCAAGGGCTGGCCCAAGCTGGCATCGTACCTGTGATTTGGCAAATGTAGCCCATGAGTTCTGCGGGAACAGCAACATGATGGACAAGGGGGTGGAAGTGTGAAAGGAGCGGCTGGAAAATCTCAATACATAATTTTCTGCGAAAGCACGGTGCAGGTTGAAGTGCTCTTAACAACAACTGCCAGTCAAGACAGTTGTGGTCAGAGCAGTGTTGGCCAAATGCAAAGAACGTAACCGACCGATGTGGGTGAAGCAATCTCAGAAGATTTGGAGCAACCAAGCTTAAGCTTTATATACTCAGATGTGTAGGGGGCAGTAACGCAACAAAGCTTCCCAGGAGCACGAAAGCACCTAGGTAGCACATGGGCATGCCAACGTGGCTTCTCTTCTTTTCCAAAGTGGCGACAAGGTCCAAAGTCAGGGCCAAACAAATGTAAGCAGAGAAGAGCAAGAGTCTTCAAAAGAGCAACATGAACTGGGCAGAACTGGCAACTTCAGGACGAAACGAACTGAGGCCATGCACACCTCTCACTTGCGGCACCTGCGGTCGCACTTCTCTCGGCTCCTGAAGCTCTGTCGCCATGAACTGCAAACATGAATACGATCCCAAAGAAACAAATACGAGGTAGTGCACTACGGTGGCATACATAATAACTTGGAGGAACAGAACCACTGTACACTGTACAGCAAACAGAATCTGGCCTGGTACTGCACTGAGGTCGCAGCATGCGTGCTTGCAAAATTGACTTGAATTTCTCGGATTAATACAGTGGAGGTCGTGTGTCCGGAAGCTCCTCAAATTCATCTGCTAGGACCTGCCAAATGAATCCAAGGGATTTGTTCACCCTTTTGACTCAGCCAGCTGCAACCTACATATACATGCGCATATATATAATGACGTCCAAATAGATAGAAACTTTTTTGGCAGGGTCCTTTTTACGCTTTTTTTGGCGTGTTTTTTTTTGAAAATGTGCTAAAAATTTCTATCTTTGGTATCCCTGCATTTTTTCCAGCAAACGCTAGTTTTTCCTTTCTGTGCTTTGCTTTATGTTTTCGTTTTGTCCTTAAATGCTGGTGTTGTCCTTTCTGTGCGCTCTGCATGTTTGCTTTATGCTCTCGTTTTGTCCTTAAACGCTAGTTTCTGCTAGTTTAATCTATATAAATCTAGCTATCCTTTCACTTTGTCTTATCGTTTTGGGCTTTTCTGTCATGTGTCCCCAAAAGGTTAGCTGCTGATGCCATGTAAAATGTTCATTGGCATGTCTAGATGTGCGTTTCTATCTTTGGTATCAATGCATAAAACCCTGTCAAAACGTAGTTTTCCTTTCAGCATTTCTTGGAATGTGTATGACTTTCCATCAAATTTCCTGTTGGAATCTAGCTGTCTACAGTAGTAAAGTTTATCTAAAAGGCTGCGGTCTTCAATTTTCCAATTAGAAATCTCATGTGTCTGTTCAACGCCTTGCAAGCTTAGATATCTTTGCAATGAATCCCATCAATCTTGGCTTTCCTTGCTCTTGCTAGAAGCTGGGTTTCATTCCATGTCCTAGTTTCCACTGGCAAATGTAGATCTGCGTTTCTATCTTTGGTATCTGTGCATATGTTCCACAAATCATTGTCCTTCAACATCTTCTTTGAAGTTAGTTTTGGAATCATTTATTCAAGTGTCCTGATTGAAACCATATACAGGATTCCTTTCAATATCCGAATTGAACCAACCCTTTTCTTCCACTGTTGCTTTCCTCCTTATGTACAGTAAATATATATAATATATATGTCCATCTAGCTTGCCTCTTAGCCATCCTTTCAATCCTCGGTCGTATCTGTTTTTGCTTTTCGTTCATTGGCTCTCAAAAATTGGTTGTTCATTCCATGTGAAGTGTCCGTTGGCAGGTCTAGATGTGTGTTTCTATCTTTGGTATCGATGCCTAATTCCCCGTCCAAGAATAGCTTTAAACCAGTTTTCTTGTCATTCTCTGCCAAAATTGACTTTCCAGTCCTTTTCCTTTCAAGTTTCTTTTGAAGGTCACGCTTTCCTTGCATTTTTTGTGCACAATGTTGCTTTCCTTTCTTTCCCATGTCGCGCTTCTTGTAATTTCTTATTTGACCATCGATTCACTGAACATATAGTGTATGCTTCAATTTCAGCGAGTTGGAGTGTTTGTGATGCCTTCATGGAGAATTACTTGAAGGGGAGATTCTCTTTGTGAGAAACCCAAGTGGTCAGGAAGGAAGCATGTTGTATCATGCCTGCTGGTGCAAACAAGAGCATTTGGCTCATTCGTGGCAACAGGTTCCAGCTTACAATAGTGATTAAGGAGGATATGTAAGGTTTGTCCAGGCGTTTCCATCTTTGGTATCGGTGTGCGTCCATGACACTCTTGCTGTCTTCTTTTGGTTTGGGAGTTTGGAACTGTTCTTCACACGTCTTGCCTCATGGTCATGGTGCAGCCGCCACCGTCGGCAGCACAGATAGTAAGCTGGATTTTGGCAAACGCAGCCAATTCTGATCACTATGCAGTGCTTTTAGGCAGCACTAAGAGGTGTGTCGGGGTTGTGCTGTGTGTGAAGCCCCTTTGATGTGGTCATAGGCAAGTCCCCACACACCAGCAGCCTTTATGAAGGAGTTTGTGCAGGGGATTGGTCCGTGGGGTCACGATCATTTTTGGGGATCCACCCATGATGGTGTCTTCATGACGCTATATTTCAACTATCATCCTGACTATCAGCCTCAGTGTCCAAAGTATATCGATATATATATATATAGGTTCAGCGTTTCCACTATAGTGGGACCTACTCAGGTTCAATTTGGGATAGTTTCCATCTTTGGAATTTGATGCATTTTATGGATGCAAACGTGTTGAAGAGCCAGGGGGGGCTGGAAGGCATTGTATACATTACATCGAAGGTTTATGGAACTATGGGATAGGATTTGGTTATGATCCCACCCACAAAGGATTTCAGCTACTCCGTCGGATACACTACCACAAGATCCAGCTGAACAAGCACGTCGATCATTTGTTCTCTCCACTGCTCCTATTGAGCGATTCCGAGCTTTGCACATGACCTGGTGCCGGCTGATTCACCCAGATAAGTGCCAGGACCAAAGGGCAGTTTCAACATACCATGCAGCATGATCAATTATGTGGGGAGTCAAGATTGCCGCCTTTCCATCTTTGGTATATTGATGTATATAAATACAGATTGGACTATATATATATATATATATATATACGTGTAATTGCATCTTTTGTATTTTGCAAAGTTGCGTTTCCATCATTGGTATCATGTGCAATATGTTGTGTATTTAATCAGACAAATGTACCAACGTTGCATGTGTATATATATAGTCTGCAGCAGGACCCCAGGGCAACAGACGCAATGGCAGCACTCAATGGAGCATGGGAAGTATTGAGGTGTCCAAAGAAGCGGCAGGACTACAACCAATCTCTTCAAGCACAGGCTCTTAAGAGGCAGGCTGAAGAGAAAAAGAAACACTTCATCAATTCGATTGCTGTGAAGCAAAAGCAGAACCATGAGCAGCGGGAGGCTCACAAAGTAAGTGCCACAGCCAAACAAAAGGCCAGAAGTACCACGGAGACCAAGGAAAGCGTCAGTGAAAAGAAAGCTGCCAATGGCAGCAGTTTCGTCTATGTGTGCCTGACCAATCAGAAGAAGGCCATTGTGGTCAAATCTTCTAGCCAGAAGAGTCTCCATCGCAAATTTGAGCACCACAACTTTGTGTCAGCCAAGCACGCAGACGCTGTAGCGTCCGAGTTTGCCAACAGGGTTGAGAACTGGTGTGTGGAAACCCTCTGCATGAACAAGATTGCGCAACTGGAAGAGTTCATGATGCAGCAGGACATTGAGAAGCCTGCCAAGAGGGTCAGCAAAGTGTTCTTGCAGGAATACATTGAGGAGGCCATGTGGGTAAATGCATACGACAATGTGATACCAAAGATGGAAACAGTTTTTTCATGTTTTTTCCTTTTGCTCTTTGCATACATGCGTGTGATTTGGAATGCCTTTACAGTGTGATACAGGGTGACCCAGGAGTATAGTACAGGCACATTGGGGGTCCAAGTACATTGGGCATCAGGAAATCACAAAGATAGAAACCCATGCCGCAGGCTTTCTACAACAAGTCTTGTGGGAAACTGGAGTCCTTCTTGAGGACGGCGTACCAGGATTCCACAGGAGCATCTTCAACTCCAGAAGGTAACACCAGCTACCAGGAGGGCATTGTGGTTGACAAGTACACCAACAAATTTATGGCCACTTTCAAGATCTCAAAAGGACATGGAAGCATTTGCAAGATCTTTGACAACCGCGAGGATGCTGAGTTTTGGTATGACTCGATCAGTAGCCTACACCAGAAGCAGCGGTTAGTGGGGAATATTTCCCTCCTCCGGCAGGCTTGCGCGACACGAAAAGCTACAGCTGAAGCAATGTCTCGCATCATGTCGGAGAACGTTTCAGTTGCAGCGGAGGCAAGCAAGACGTTTGCTCGGGACATGGCCATGGGGACGGACATGTCTGGTATTCACTTCCTTGCTGACAAGTCGCTCAAAAAGAATGACCTTCCTCAAGCAGAGGTTCGCATCCACAGGTTGATGTCTGAGAGGTGGGATGGTCGTTGGTTTGCAGTGTTTAGAGTTATATATTACATACTAAAGTATACTAAAGTTAAAGGCTAAAGCCTTATTGAACATATATATATATATATATATTTAGTGTCCAAAAAAACAGATTTGAATGGTGCATGAGTATGAGTTTGGCCCCGCATCCAGGTTGTCGACTTTGGTGGAAGGGCAGAAACTTGAAGGCAGACTCCTTGGGAAGTATCATGACTCAACGGGGTGGAGGGCTACGATTTGCATTCTCTTGGGCGACTCCTACTCTTTGGCTGATGTGGATCAATTTGCAAAGACTTCCTGCCTTTCAGTTGTTGGCGTGATAGGCAGCAGCAATGACTTGAAACCATCAGTGCAGGCCTTTGATGCTCTCAAGGCTTTGGCTTCAGAGTGCACAATCCCGATCTACTTGCACTTTGCTCGTATCCAGGGCCAGGTGAAGCTCAGCGCTTTCCAGCTCGCTGCCAAGGAGAATGGCGGAGTGGCAGAGGTTCAAGTCAATTTCATTGTCAGAAAATTGCAGCAAGAGGAGTTTAGAGTTATTGGTTCTGCTGCTGAGTCATCTCAAGTGCAGGTTGGCATTGAAGTTTCTCGCTGACAAACATTAAAAAAAACACTGTTTCCATCTTTGGTATTTATGTGCTATTTCTTGATAAATGTGTAGTGGAACATGTCCAGAAAGACAATTTGTTCAATGTTGTTTCAGGTTTGAAGAAACGAATGCACTGTTTCCATCTTTGGGATTTATGTGTTATTTCGTTAGAAAATTGTATTAGAACATGTTTGGAAAAATACTTGCCAGTGTTGCTTCAGGTTCAAAAGATCATCTCAAGCAAAGCGCCACCTCCACCGCCGCCAGAGAGCAAAGCAACAAAGTACAAGGTGATGCGTATTCCAGGAGACGGCAGATGCTTCTGGAGCTCTTGGCTATCCACAACTCACCATGATGAATGGTGGAGCCTTGATAGAAACAATTCGGGCTTTGCAATCAACTCTGAGCGCCAAAAGTGTGAAGAGCAAATGAGTGAGCAACTTCTAAACGAGGTGATGAGCAGGGTCATGAGCTTCTGCACCAATGACTGGGAGTTTGAACTTTGCAAGTCAGTGATGGACAGGGTTGCGCTTCAATTTTGGATTACGCAGTGTTTTTGCAGGTGGTACCAAAGATGGAAACGTGCATTAGCACATGGTCCTGGAAGTGTATGATAGAGATCGCTGGACAACAAAACAGTTTAAAGGGTTAAAGTAGAGAAGTGAACTGACCATGTAAGAAAACGTGGTTTGCAAGCTGTTTCATTGTTGGCACGAAAGACATCCATTTTGATTCAAAAACCAGGACAGCAAGCAAGTATCCTTGGAGGCAGCCCACTTGATTGGTTGTCACATGGGATGCTCCTTCAGGATCACTCTTGATCCTGCAACCTACCAAAAGTGCGCTGGCGACTACCCATCGGACGCTTTGTACGGAGTACCCGAATGCTTTCCGGCGTGTTCCTATGCAAAGCTCCAGGCAGTTTTGATCATTATATAAATATGTTGCACCTTATCACCCCAAATGATGAATGTGGATAAACCTATATATATATAAGTAACAGTATACCAAGCAAAAACAAATCCTCTTTTGAGAACTTTGTAAACATATATATATGCATACAGCGACTGCAGCATGCTCACGTTTACCCCATTCTTAGGCAGCTGTCTCATTAAAAATAGTTTCCTGTGCTTTTTTGACTAAATAGTCTATAAGCAGAAACGATTAATTTTGCAAGTTAGAGGGATAGGGACACATGTCAGAACGCTCGACTAAGGTCATCTCTACTTCAGCTTCACTTCTACTGCTGGGCATTTTGATGTTATGTTTGAAGATCCTCTCGAGTACCCAGGCGAGGCTGAATCCCAAAGATGGAAACGCGCTCAACCAACGCTATCGACCTTGTAACCACAATCCAAGAGTGAACAAGTGTATGGCTATATAAGCTACTGTATGTGTGTATATATATTTTATATATATGTGTATATATACATATATACAGTCTATAGATATATATATATATACATATTATAGACAGCAGGGCTCTACAAGGACACACTGGACCACTGTTCCACCCCCACCGTAAAGGAATACCAAAGATAGAAACACTGTATGAGTTTGAAGTAAAAGAGATTCACCGTGTTCAGGCAGCTTGGAGCTTCCTCAAGCTGCGCCTCATTGTTTGGACCACCACCAGTTCGCGAAGCGGTACAGCGCGGAGGACGTCAGCAAGCGGTATGAGCAGTCCCACATGGTTCTGGAGGTACACCAAACTGTGTGCAAAGAAGTTCGCAATGGGGATTCTACAGGGGAACCAGCCACTACTACCCAGCATGCAGAAGCATCACAGGCACCGCCAAACATTCCGGCTCAGCCAACACGTGCTCCTGCAACCCTGTTTCCAGAGAACCTTCCAAAGCCAGCGCAACCAGCTAAATTATCAGAGACCCCAGCTCAGTCAAAGTATGCAGCAGCCAGCTTGCATCCAGCAGCCCAACTTTCAGACAGCCTGCCAAGGCCATCAGAAGCAGGTGGTGCACCACCCAAGACTCCATGTCAGCCAAAGCAACCAACAGATGCTGCAGGAGAGAAGCCAGCAAAAGCAGCTGAAGCACCAGCAAAGACCCCATGTCAACCACAGCATTCAGCATATGATGCAGGAGAGCAACCCGCCAGCCAGGTTCCAGATAGCCTGCTTGGGCAGCAAAAGCC